CAATATTTAATACTCAGTAGAACTAAAATAAAAAGAACAAAAATCAGATTCCTTTTATTTATTCTCAAAGAAATAAAGCAAAAATACATTTCCTTATTTATTATCATCTTTTCTGCTTCCCTTTCCACCGCCACTAATTTTAGCTGCTAATTATTCCAACTGAATTTTATAAAATTACTTCTTCTGAGCTACATGATTCACTATGGCACTCCCTAAGTATTTGCCAAGTCCTTCTGACCGTTGCTTTTTAATTTAAAAATTGAGAAAGGAAATAAATATGCTGGACCAACTTGATATTCTGTTTTTCAGAATTTCAATCAGCTTAAGGCGGTTTTTGCAGTAAACACTATATTTTGAGACAGCAAGTATACTCATACTGTCTTCCTATATTATCACCTCATTCTTAGCAACCATGCAACCCCTCAAGATAGAGTCAGATTGGTGTAGCCGTTAAAGCACCAGGCTAGAAAATGAGAGACCTTGCATTCAAATCCCATCCTTGGCATGAAACCAGCTGGATGACCTTGGGCCAGGTACTTTCTCTCAACCCTAGGAAGGAGGCAAATGCAAATGCAAAAAAATCCCACCCAAGATAGATTTCTTTAATTATGTTTGCAGTACCCCAGGTATAGGTAGTCCTCAAGTTACAACCATAATTGACTGCAAAATTTATGTTGTTAAGCAAGAAATATGTTAAGTGAGTTTTAGTCCATTTTATGATTTTTCTTGCCATAATTGTTAAGTGAATTACTGCAGTTGTTAAATTAGTAACACAGTTGTTAAGTGAACCTGGCTTGGCTTGTCAGAAGACTGAAAAGCTGATCACCTTGGGACATTGCAACTGTCATAAATATGAACCAGTTTTCAAGCATCTGAATGCAAATCAAGTGACCAGGGGGATGCTGCAACAGTCATAAGTGTGAAAATGGTCATTAGTCACTATTGTCAGTGCACTTTTAATTTTGAACGGTCACTAAATGAATCTCTGTAAATCACTGCCTCTCTATATACACCAATAGGCTTGGTATTTTAACTGACCCACTTTTTCACTATATTTAACTGATAAAGGGTCTACAGATGCAGAAATTTCTGAAAACGTATTTGAAAATATGAAAATCTTCTAATTTACTACATTTTAGTAGTTCTTCAATAAGCATTTCCTATCTTATTAGAAAATAGAATTCTAGGAATATTCAGTTTAAAGCAGATTTGACTGTTTTATTTCAAATTCCATACAACTTCTTTTCAAAGCAAAAAATATCAAACTTCACGTTTCAGTTTCAAATTCAATTGTTGAACTGAACCATTTTTAATTGACTAAGATGTTCTATACCATAGCAATCAACATAGAATCAATATAAAATTCTCTATATATAACACACCCCAAGTACAGTGAAATCACACCAATATTCCTTGTCACAAGTAATGAGGGTCTACAAACTATGTGAGTAAAATTTATGAGGAATAAGGTTATGTGATTACTATACACAAATAATGTGTATCGTAAACAATGCTTTTGGAATCAAAGATTTCTAACTGGCCACAATTGGCCAATGATAGAAGACTAGATATTATATTTATTTTATCAAAAAGCTTCACAATGTATTTTTATATATGCTGTTGCTCTTATTTTTTATTTCTGTCTTGCAGAAAAAGGGAATAATATTATACTTACTTTTCATACACAAATTCATCATCTATGCAGAAATAGTGTGTATTTGTACTACCGCTTTTTGGTTTATGGAACAGAATGGCAAAATAAAGACGATCTGAAATTGAAAACAAAAACACCAAAATAGTATTTATAATGAACACAAAGACAATTGTAGAAAATGGGTTGATAGATTTATCTGTGTCTTTTTAGCCAAGTTACAACAGCAAAAATAAAAACTTCCATTCAGAATCTGATGCTTTCAGAAAATTTGCAATATAAGTATTAATAACTATTCACTATGGCATAGAGGATGAACTTTAAATTTGGATATAAGAAATTCAAATTCATAATCTGAGTTGTCAAAAAGAACTCTTACCTATCTCACTGAAACTACAATCCTTTTCTGTGCAACATTAAGATAATTATTCACATGAATCATGTGAAGGAACATTACAATTCAGCTGTATTTATGAGATACTTTTGAAATTACTGGCATCACTTCCTAACACATTAGAAATAGAGTTATGCAGTAAAAGTTTGGTCAATGGTTAAATCACCAGGTTAGAAACTTGTAAGTTTGTACGTTTCTTTTATTAACAAAGCACTGTTTTGTTAATTATACTATTGATGTTAGAGTGTATGACTTCTGGTCCCACCTTATGCATGAAAGCTAGCTGGGTGAGCTTAGCTGGGCCAGTCACTCTCTCAGCCTAACCTACTTCACCGGGTTGTTGTGGGGAAAATAGGAGGAAGAAGTATTATATTATTATATTAGATATTTGCTGTCTTGGTATTTATAAAAAAAACAATAAAGGTGAGATAAATCAATCAATCTCAACACATTTTTTTCCAATCTTGGCAATTTCCATGTTGGAAACCTTTAGTTCTTCGAAGAATGACGAAAGTCCAGTGTTGGTAACTACTACATGTATAGAGTGTCTCTTGCAGATATATTCATGTTGCTTAGTCATACACACTAAATACAATGTAACTATGTTAACATGGTCTCTAAGCAGAGCTGCAGAAGGGGCACAGCCTTGCAATTCTATTCTATGATTAAGAGATTTTAAATTACTATCGGTGACAGTTGTTAGGATTTTTTAAACAGGAAAGTCTGGCAGGAAATACAGATTAAAAAATAGCGGCTAAGACATAATTCAGCTCTAATTGGTTGGAAAAAGTCTGAAATCTAACTGGGGAAAGAACATAAAGATGAGAGATATTTTTAGAACTCCCTCTTAAAAGCAAAGAAACTTTTATAAATTGCACAAAAACAAAAACTGTGAACAATGCTACATTAATTTATTCTGAATAAAAAAGTTCCACAGACTGCTTCATGATTTGTTACATTATTTCCATGTAATTATGGTTTTGCTACAACTATAGAGCACAAGCACAAGACTATAATAAATAAATATTTATTGAAAAACACTTGAGCTTACATATCCTAACAAATTCAAAAATGTTGCCCACACAATGGCACACCAAAAAATTGTATATGGGCGGGCAAGGAAGCCAGTAGACACATCACCAACTGCTGTGGTGATTCGCAATTTTGGGGAGTTTTGTGGAACAGACTAATAGCCCTACAGAAACAATAATTCCACTTACTCCAAAGATTTAAAGGGCTCAAGTTCCGACAAAGACAGAGGCAGAGAAAGTTCTTTGTTGTGCAAAATACCTGCGGCACCTTGTTTTGTTTTTAACCGTTTACCCTGCATCAAAGAAAGAACTTGAAAACCCACAACGAGTGAGCTTATAGTTGGCCTCTCCCCCCACTTGGCGTAAAACTTCTGCCTGTTCCGTCAGAATTTTAAACGCGCCACAGGGGAAAGTCATTCTCCACCCCCGCCTTTTCTTTTTAAAGCTCCGCTGCTTGCTTACCTTTAACTAACTCCGCGCGGAAGGGCAAGCGCTTGGCGGCGTTCATCTCGGTTTATCAACATTCAACCGGGGCTGAGCTGCTGGAAATGGCTGCTTGCGGAGGTCGCTGCTGACTTTTGCAGCCGCGGTCAGAAACTCCTAAATGTCTCCCTCCCTCCCTGCTCGGAGTACTAACCGCAACCGCAACTCTTGCTTTCAAAGGGGGGGGGGGGAAGGAAGAAAGCAGTCCGCGCCAACTCGAACGCCAGGGCTGGGGCGCTCCGAAAAAAGGCGCCACAAAATCCTCTTCCCCCTAAGCCTTTTCCCCTTTGGGTTTACTGCAGCTCCTTTCTTCAACAGGCAGCCTCCAGAGGGCCGCCAGTCCTTCCCGCGCGCTTTCTCCAGCTCCTGTTCGGCCCAAGGAGCAATTCCCAAACGTCGGCCCGCCGCGCTTGCCTGCAAAGGGGCCTCAAGAGCGCGCGTCGGGCGTCTCAGCTTTTCCGAACTTGCCTCCAGCTCCTCCGCTTCTGCCAAAGGCGCCGACGAACACTTTCCCAACAATCATTAACGCGTCCCCTTCCTTCAGCCAAGGAGGCAGCTCTCGAAAGCTTCGCACCGAGAAGCGGCCATTGGCTGGGCGAAGGAAGCAAACAGAGCCCCTCCTTGCCAACCGCTGGCCACCTCGCACTGCAACCAAGGGCCTTTGCCCAGTCTAGGAGCCTCCCGAAACCTCGGCCTGACCTAGTTCCTCGTGAATTTTGGTCACTGCCTAGCCTCCGGTTTTGTTGTGTATCTTTCTTGTGCCATTCTAGCAGAAAACTACACCCGCTCGACCGCAAACACGCTTAGCAACACCATCGCGTGTGGAACCAGGCCGAATTGTAAAGGCGTTTGAAAAAGGATCACAAAAATGATCTTAACTCCCGCTGTGTGGAAGTGGTGCCTGCCCACGCACCACAAGCACTTTCTGCATATATATATATATATATATATATNCCCCCCCCAAATTTCCCTTTATAGCCTACAGGCCAAGAGGTTCCCAGTAGTCTCCTACTAGTACTAACTAGATCATAGTCTGTTTAGATTTTTAAGATCAGCAAGATCATTTACGTTCTGTCACCTATTTGGCCATTGACCAAGAATGAAAATAGAAAATTTGATGGATGAAAATTCATCGGTCAAGTCAGGAAGAGGACTGTGTTCATTTGCCATGCAAACCCAGGAGAAAGCAATTTATATTTATTGGTGGTAGAGGCCTACCACCACCACAAACGTCCCTGCATTACAAATGTGTTTGTGCCAATATAACCAGCTTCTTTCTGTAACAATTCATTAGGGTAAGAAGGGGCAGAATCTGGGGGTGGACTGAAGAGTCTTTATGTTCTCACAAGTGATCCAAGTCCAGCATCTCCTTAAATTCCATTAACTAGCACCAATTTAGTGCTGATGATTAGTTAACTAAATTCTTGTGTATAGATTTGAGCAATAAATCTTCTTAACTGGAACTTAATATGTGGTCCCAATTCTCCACACATAACACGTCTTATACATGGCATCATCAACTTTTTATCAGGATTTAAACTTAGAGGCTCATGCTTCGATGACTATAAAATAGATTGCCTAGCCAACAAAAAGCTCTACATTTATTACTTTACCTGGTCCTAAAATGAAAGTGCCTCCCTGCTGAGCTGGATCACCCTGAAAATCAAATGCAGCGCTCGTCATTGCTCTCCACATGCTTTTAATGCTTCCTGATAGCAAACTGGATTTAACATGAGGGCTGTGCACTGCAAAAGATAGCAGAAGAGGAAGGTTATTTGGCAAAAAGCATACATTAGCTCTATTGTCATTATGAATACATTAGGCTATAATCCTCTGGGCAGTTACTACCAACCAATTCCAGGAAGATCAGAACTAAGTTCAAAGGAAAGAAATGTGCTTTAGATCAGTGGCCTGCAACCTTTTGGACACTAGGGACCAGTTCTGTGAAGAGATGCAGACCAGAGGGGGTATAGTTTTGTGTGCTGCCTGCATTCTGCGGATTGGACTTCGCTTGTTTGTGTGGCCCGATTTCTGTCATGCCATGGCCCGAACTTCCAGAATTTCCCAGTTAACTTTGCTAAAGGCCAGACTAGACAACTACCTGACAGAGATGCTTTCATTTGGATTCCTGCACTGAGCAGGAGGTTTTACAATGGCCAAAATGGCCCCTCCAATTTTATAATCAAATGAGGTCTTAATGGTATTCCTGATTTTGTATGTACATAAAACAAAGTACAGTACTTTGTACACTGAAAGTACAGTTTCAGTTTACATAACATTAGGTAAAGATATATTAGCAGTTTTTGATACTGAAAGTCAGTAGCACAACCCACCTGCTGAGCTGGAGGATTCCCCTCTTTTCATACCAAGAATTTTATAAATTTCTCTTCGTGGATCTACATATATTTCATGAGGGTAACCTGTCAGATTACAGAACGGCTGCAAGCAATATATATTAGGTATCAATGTAATACACAATGCAGTTCTATTTTTGAAAGCAAATGGTGCAATCCTGTCAGCCTTGCCTTTAATTAAGTCCCATTACACTAAGTGAAATTTTCTTCCAATTAAATGTATTTAATCTAGGCTTTGGCAGCTCTAAGCAAACATGATGGAAGTAACCCCTCCTAAAAAGAAGGGGGATAATTTCCAGGAACTTGGAAAGAAGCCTTCAAAGCAGATTTAGTGTCCATTTAATTTAAGCAGTCTTATTTATATCGGGATATATATGTGCGAATGTGTTTATGGGTAGACAAGCTTAGAGATGCAAACAACTGAAACAAAAGAGCTGCACCCCCTCAGCAGAATAAACTGGATTTTCAGTTATACTTACCCGAATGTGATGATGTGCTGATTGCCCAATAATCACAAGTCTAACATTTGCATCCTAAAGCAAAAAAATCCGAAAAAAAATATTGATCTTAAAATTGCCAACCAATACTTCACAACCCAATCTTTGGGCCAAACTAAAAATGAGATTTGTGTAAACCTTTGAAGCAATTCTTACTTTAACAAAGACCTGGCCTTTTTTAAAGCAACTTCATAAAATGTCATGGCCTCTACTTTTAAATAACGAGGTGGAGCAGCTGTATCACTTAGCTACAGGAAATGAGCTCCTGTACATATCTAGCAGCCCTTTTCCCACTGAGAAAAGGTGCACCTTTTAACAAAGATGCACCTTTTAACAAAAAGCAATTAGTCTATGCCCTGAAACAGAGGGAAGATCAAGTTACTTTCTCGGTATGAAGCATTCTATTTTATGCAGCAATACCAGAAACCTGGACTCCATAGCAGCTGAGGCATCATGTAATTAAAGACCTAGTGCTTGCATTGCATAATATATTAAGCTAAATTTGGGTAGAATATTTGTTTTGGCATAGCAGAGTATATGAATTTAGCTCCTGTGGTTATTTGATAATTCAATGGATTGTGCAAACCTAGATAGGGTAACTCAGGTTAACCCAATAGCAATAGCAATAGCAGTGGACTTATATACCGCTTCATAGGCCTTTCAGGCCTCTCTAAGCGGTTTACAGAGAGTCAGCATATTGCCCCCNTACTGGAACCATGTTTGAACTGCCTTCTCCTCTTTTAATACCTCTAAGGATTTTAGTTGTAATACCGTAAAGATTAACATATTGATTACATTAATTTTTATAAAATGAGTTCACCTGATATATTTTATATTTCAGATGCTGTGTACATAAATCTTACACCAGAATATTCAGAGGGAAATGGAAATTTTATTTATGGTGGTAATGATCAATTAATTGATCATTCAGAAAGTTGTTGGATAATATAATATAAACCTCCTTGCTTTGGGTATATTGTAACTCATTGTGTGTTGAAAAACCAATTTCAATGAACTATAAATATCGAAGAGACCTGCAAAAATTAAGATGACCAGTAGAAGGAAGCATAATGTTAGCTTTTTAAAAAATCTGTTGGTGGTCAGTTGGCGGTCTTCTGATTTTTTTGCAGAAAAGTTCTCAGTCATTTTGTGTAATAAAGGTAGTCCTTGACTCACAACCACAATTGAGCCCAAAATTTCTGTTTTTAAGTGAGAGATTTTTAAAGTGGGTTTTGCCCCATTTTACAACCTTTCTTGCCACAGTGAAGTGAATCACTGCAGTTGATTAGTAACTTGATTGCTAAGTGAATCTGGCTTCCCCATTAACTTTGCCTGTGAGAAGGTTGCAAAAGGTGATCACATGACTCCAAGACACAGCAATGATCATAAATATGAACCAGTTGCCAAACATCATGATCATGGGGATGCTGCAAAGGTCATAACTGTGAAAAAAAGTCCTAAATCATATTTTTTAGTGCCATTGTAACTTTGAACGGTCACTAAATGAACTGTTGTAAGTCAAAGACTACCTGTAGTAGGGGAAGAAAACTGGATGTGGTCCCAACTCCACAAAATATAACTGTTTAAAATAATGCTTTTAAAATTCTGCATAAATTTATCATGTACTTCTCATTATTTTAATAGTCTAGTAGGCAATAGTCCTTAAAAACACACAAATATTGTATATTTATTTTTTATCCCTAAGGCTCACTTCTGTTTCAAACAAGTAATAATAGTATTAAGTTAGTTGCAGCATACTTAAGATGCTAAGTGTAGCGTGTGGAAGAGTTTCAGGGTGTAAATTTTTAAAAAACCACTCAGATAATTTTTTAATCTCTTTATATCTCTATTACTATGAAACAAACTCAATAATTTTGTTGCCTTTTTAAAGTGCACAATAACATTGCAGTTGAACTCCAGAAAACTTCCAAGTTCTGCACTTCTCAGATATGACATATTTCTTCAGCAAGATCAAATCTTGCCCCTCTCAGTAGTAAAATCTTGCTCCTCCCAGTAGTACAGTAGGGCTAGGTTTGCATCCAGCTACAGCAAGACATAAGGCACATGCTGCAAGGCACAGCTAGGCACAATGGTTCCCCAAAGTGCCAACCAATCCAAGGAAGAAAGTTGTGTAAGCCTTGTCATAGTTTAGGTGAGTGTTACTTGTCTGGTTACATGAAAATTTGGATGAACTTTGACAGTACTAAATGAAAAGCTTTTGAATTTCACAGGGATGACAGCCAATACAGAATAGCATGAAATGTGATCACTATATCTTTGACCTCCTTTCTTTCAGAAAAAGAAAAGACCAAGCTACTACTGCAGACTGAAAGAATACTACATAATTTAAGGGGAATACCTGGCTTTCTTAAAAGGCAAGGTGTTAAAAGACTTCTGAAAGATTAAGCTCATGCAGTCAAAGGTACATGTTGTAAATCTGGAAATTTTGTCCCAGAGGGCTGGTCAGTAGAATGAAATAATCCATAAGAAGCATAGATATCTGCTTGTTCTTCACTGCCTAAATTGGACATAGATAGGGCATTCCATCTTAAAGGAAGGCACCATACTAGTCTCTCCCAATTTTCAACTTCCAGTATTTCTAAAACGCTAACATCACTATTCTTGTTTCATGGCTTCAGTATGGTTTATATATAATAATTGTTCTAAATTGCATATCACAGCCAATGGTCAAGCTATATACAGTATTGTTTAACTTTTGACTTATTGACTAAACCAGAGTGACTGTTACACACTTAATACTAAGTCTTGGGTTACAAAGTACAATGCCTAGATACTGTATATGTATCATGCAAAGGAAAAAATCAAACAAACCTGTTATAGTTAATATTCAAACTGTGTTAAAGCTATAAATCAATGGTTTAAATCAGAGGTGTCAAACCCAATAGCATCAGAGGCAGTATCTTGATGTATCAGGATGTTGTTGCCTTTGTGGACCC